AAACTTATTCGAGTGACAATAGAAATTTTGGTTTTGTGTACAATCATTAATACTTTCTCCATTGCGGGTATTTGCGGAAGGTTGTTTTAACATCGTTCTATAAATACAGGAATTTTAGAACGATTGAAGTTCATAAAACGTGGTCAGATTAAGCCAAATACATCATAAATATTTTTTAAGGAATAAAACTCAGAAGATTTCTTCAATGCGTCATATCTCATTTATAGATACAGTAAAAGCACAGATAAACAGACATAACTCTTAGAAGAAAATTCTTCAAAAAATATCGTCAAGCGTATTTTGCAGGCACACCAGCACCCTATATTATGCACATTTCCAAGCACGTTTTTGCAACCGGAGCATCCCTCGTTCATGCATTTTTTTTCCCTTGTTCTGTTGAATACAAACAAAACAGAAGGAAGTCAGTGATGTCGATTCTACGAAATTTTCCATAGAACTATAGAATTCAGTGCCAACATTTCAAAGCGGCGTAATTGCTTTTGTAAACAATGGCTTTAGCCGTCGATTTCTCGCAAATAAAAGTTCACTCCTCCAAATTAACAACGCTAGCTGGGGAAAGGGAGGAAACATTTCTCTATCTGCTGGTGTAATTAAGTTTCATGAGTGAGCTTTTATTTGCGAGAAATCGACGGCTAAAGCCATTGTTTACAAATACAATTACGCCCCTTTGAAATGTTGGCACTGAATTGATTGAATTTTGCAGAAATACGAATCCGTTGAAGAAATTCTCAGAAGCTCAGTCCTTTTTAAGGATTTGTTTTGATTTTTCTTTTGCTGGAAACAAGTTTTTAAACATGGTAATGCATCACTAATGAATGCTTTTTCTAACACCGCTCATCACTTTAATGTGTACATAGCAAACAATATGTATTCTGGATTCGTCAAATTAGTATGTGGTATAGTAATGACTCGATTTTGTCGGCACCTCTGCGCATTAGACTTTTATCATTAAATAATTTCATAAAATCTCAAATCTAAATCATTCTCATGCATCTTCATGATAGGTGTTTAAAGCATACTTTGGTGCAATAAGACCACTGAAAAAGCGCATGGGTAGAACATTAGAAAAGTTTTTCAAAAAGGGGGCCGACAAAATCGGGTAAGTACTGTTTATGTCTTCAGTGGGATGCCTTGGTCCCCTTATCATTCTCAAGAGCTGACATCTACTAAATTGTCCTTAAAAAGAACTGGCATCACTGATAAGTTCAAAATGTAGTGGCTTGCTTAACGCTTCAGTGGCGCCACCATGACAAATGATAGTACATTCCCAACTAAAATTTTATTTGCTAAGAATGTGATGGTGAGTGTTATGTCTGTTTGTCTGTGGTAAAAGTATTCGTATTTAGAATTCTTCTCAAATTTCAGTTTCTAGAAGGTTTTTCCAATAAAAACGCTTCTCGAGTGGCATCAAGGGACTTAATTTTGGAATAATTACATCTTTTCGAGTTGGCTCAATTCCCCTGCTACCATCGCGATACTTTAAAGTTGATTTCAAATTAAAACAAAACTTTTGAACTTGATTCAACTGTTGTTTGGTGTATAACAGATGGCTTAAAACTACATGATGGTTCGAATAAATCAGTATGTATCATAGTTGATACAATTGATCTCGGTTCAATTTGTGACTTGAACAGTTGTCAAGCCAGTAAAGGACATTATTTTGATTTCTGTTTTCAAGGAGGTGCTGAGTGAAAGAACTAATGATGTCACAAGCTTTCCGTCCGCTGATCGTTTCGTTCCATACCACAGCGTAAACAGGACCATTTTTGCTTTCAGCTAGTAGTGCAAAAGTTTCATTCATTGCGATAATTCGTTTTGCAAATATTGCTTCCTTGAAACCTTCCATTCTCGGGAGTTGTATCACCTGGTAAAACATAAATTCAATTTTTATAATAAAGTTACAAACTAAGGCTCATTAATTTACTTTTCGTAAATCTACCGATACGGCAAGCCCTTCGAATGAAGTTTTGTCCTTGTTATATTCTCCTCTAGCTAATATGGCAGCATTTCTATGCTCCTGCCATTCCTCAACCGGCTTCGCATTGCTGTTTTCATCTTCATCGGCACCGGATACCCTTAGGCTCTAAACCATTTGGCGATTTTTTTAACTTTTGGTTAAAATTTGACAGATGGAAAGTTATTGATTAACCCTGCTATCCGAGCATGGATATTTCTGACAGACAAGAAGTTAAACTTTGACAACCGTGGCTCGAACACCGGTCGATCGATAGCACGGGGATTTTCGAACATACAAAATAACTTTCGAAATGTCACTTTTAACCACGAGTTAAATTTAACTCGGCTAATGGTTCACAGCCTTAGTGGAGAAATTCAGCTTCGGTGACAGTTCTAACTTCGTGGTTTGCAATTTTCAAATGCGATTCGGCCTTCCGACACTTTTCGCACATCTCATTTCCCAGCTTCGTAAACCTTATATTTATTCTCGAAAGCTGCTTGCAGTAGAACGAATAGCTGGATGTCATCAAAGATTGCTCCAAACGTTTTCCATTAAAGGAGTCGTGCAAAGCTCGGTGAGTTAAATCTGATGGCAAGTACATAACGTTAGGTGCGTGTTCCCTACGATTATGAGAAATGGTCGGCGAGTAGGACATAATGTCGATCTTCACATCTTCTTCAATAGGGTTGATTTGGTGATGCTTCCCTCGTTTTTCGACATATGATTGCCGCTGACAATAATTTTCATGAGTTCTGTAAACGAAGTTAAGGGCCACCCACATTAGATCCGTTTGCGTTGCGTTGACGTAAAATTGACAGTTAGACAATAGATTTAGCTGTCACTTTGCCGCAACGCGTCCGATCCGGATCTAATGTGCGTGGGCCTTTACTGGAACAAAGAAACGATATAGGGTAGAGAACTACTTCGGCCTAATCGCCCATTGGGCCTGTCGAGCAGAAAACTTCAAATAAATCCATGATTTCAGAGTTAACAAGTCAATTATGCGGCTGGTACGATATTTTAGTTAATACGCTAAGGAACGAAGTCAATGAGAACGCGTGATATGAAGGTTTGCACCCATTATTCCCAAAAACAAAAGAAGCGCTCGGACCGAATCATTTTTAATCATCATCCGATAGGCCGAAGTGAATTCAATGGCGTTTCAATGCGTTAGGTCGAGTTTAGATTCCGTAGGCCGAGTTTGGCTTCAAGAAGCAGTGTTAGACTTTTGACAATATCTCAACGATTGGTTGATCTTTATCAAATATTACGGTACGTACGGAAAGGTAAATAAATTTGGAAGCCATCAGTAATAATAACATTCCGTGTGGTGCTAAGCTGCGCTAGATTAGGAAAGACTAAGTGCGGGTTGTGCTTAACAGGCCGGAAATGGGGTAGTTAACCCTATTATTAATCGGCATAAAATGTAGGTTTGATAACAGTCTATCACAAAAACACTCACCTGCTTGTAGCAGGATATCCCAAAGTATTAAAAAAATCCTACGCACACGGGTTGATCCAGACCTTGGTGGTCTTCTAGAGTATACGAATAAGTAAATTTCCTTTGCACAGCGCTTGTGTACTCGATACAACGACGACGTTTAACGAACAGGCGAGACGAATGCTTCAAGATAAACGATCTTCTTGCTTCCAGCGATAAACTCCAATAAAAAGAGTTCACCTGATTTCTTCTGTCCAACTTCTTCGGGCAATCTAAAGCACATCCACAATTTACATAAATGAAATGATGGGCCTTGATGCGTTTTTACCTAGTAGTGATTTGCGACATGCGTCTCTTCGTAAGGTTCCCCGTATCAGATGTTCTTTTTGGTTCGTTTTCGCTACTACTAATTACCCAAGTAACAAAAAGTTCTGATAAAAGGCTATTTGTGGCTTAAGCAGCTTGGTTTAAGGTGGTTTATAGAATTCTAAGCAGCCTCATTTTTAAGTAGTTATAAGAACTTGAAAGTTCCAGTACCAAAATTGAAGAGCATTCTAAGCAGCTTCTGGCGGAAGAAGATTTTGGTAATGAACAACGAATTTATGTTTTTGCTCATATTGAAAAACTGGTTGATTGGATTTACGTCACCTCACGGCAATGCAGCAGTGTGGTTTACATCTTACTTCAGTATGAACAATTTTTGAGTTAATCTACCAACGAAAAATTCGGCTAGGTCCACGTAAACAGTACCACTGAACTGTCATCCAATTGAGGTTAACCAATGCGGAGCAAAATATTATATTCACCTAAATTCTGGGTCTTGTAAACTGTCAAAGATAAAGAAACCAGATCGAGAAAAAAATATTATTTAAAAATAAGGGTTTTCGCTACTTTTTAAACCCCTGGCAGAGTGGATGCGAGCGGACAAAAGATTGTATTATTTTTTTATTATTCTTTTTGCTGCGTCTTGTCGCATTCACTCTGCCAGTGGCGTTTGACTGAAAACCGAAGCTCAGTTTGAAAATCTTGTTCACTGACCTCTCAAATCAATCCATCATGACATCGTCTACTAAAAAAAAAAGATTTCATTTCCGAAATACCGAAACATAAAATGCTGAATCCCGGATTTTTTTCTAAACCAGGGAAACTGGACCCTCTTAATATTAAGGGTATAAAAACGGTTGTTCATCATTTATTGAATGGTTCTGTTCTGTTCACGTTGAATTGAATGATTTGAAAATTAGCAGCAGTATCCATGCAACTTACTTGGTTTTTCATTCCGTATCCCGTAGATAAGCTTCTGGTGATGTAAACAAAATTTATCGTCATCCAATGTACCATTTAAATATGACATGTTTGGATAACATTAAATAAACCTCATAGATTGATTAAAAAAAAAAAAAAGAAACCACAGCATAAAATAACAACAACCATTTGTGTTAGCCCATCTAGCTTTACTTGTTGAAATCTCAATTTCTTATCAGGGCAACACACCTAGATTGTATCACACATTCTTATCTGTTCCGTTTTTATCGTATCATTCAAATAACCGAGGAAGTGTGATACAGCTGCAGTCATGTTCATACTTCGCAGTTGTGTAGTCATCGGAAGCGGAACGATACTGCCATAGTATCCAGTAACTGCAAAAATGCATAATTCGAGGTAAGGAAAATTATTCGATTAGCATGAATTAGTTTAATCATATTAGTTGACTTTTGAAATGATTATCATGTATAGATCTGCTGCGTTCTTCTTAACCATCGTGCTGCTACAGTGGAACATCTTCGCCGATGATAAGATACCGTCATTATCTGGTTGCATCCACCGGAACGGATATAACTTGGATCAGCTGTTGTTTACTGATACCGATAATTCCACCATAGATTGGCTGACGGTATCAGGAACGTCACAAACAACCTTGGAAGCTGGGATGTTGGAATGCTTTCCCGATTTGAAAGAATTGATCATTACTGACAGTGGTTTATCTGTAATTGATGGTGATGCATTCGAAGGAGTGCCGTTGCTGTGGGCGTTAAATTTAACCAGGAATGAGTTAGGATCACTACTTGACCGTGGAAAACCAGTACTTGGAAAGCTATCCTGTCTGCATAGTCTTGATTTAAGCTACAATAAGTTCCGAGTATTATATCCCGGCTCGTTTGAGGGACTGAGTAATCTGACGGAGCTGATCGTATCGAATAACCGACTGGAATGGATTTATGGCAGAACTTTTGAAGAGCTGATGAATCTTCAATGGCTGGATTTATCGCAGAATAGAATGGACAATCTACCGGGTGCAATATTTTCATTCAACAAGAAGTTAAAATTTCTCTCGTTGAGGAATAATCGTATCAAATATTACAGCACAAGATCATTCCATGGACTTCATGACTTAGAAGAGCTTGATTTAAGTGAGAACGGGTTTGAAATATTGCCACCACTGATCTTCAAGCCATTGACCAAGCTTAAGGTGCTGCTTCTGAATGGTAATGTTTTGGACTACTTCCAGGACTCAGTTTTCAGCACATTGGAGAATTTGGAATATTTGGGCATTGCTGATAATAAGCTACTGGAACTGCATCAATCGACGCTCAGACCTCTAAGAAATCTAAAATTGCTCAATGCTCATGGAAATCAGCTTTCATCAATTCCGGTTGATTTGTTCGAGTTCAATACATTACTGCAGGATGCTAGCTTCAGTGATAATTCTTTTAGTATCTTCCCGGAACAGGCAATGGTGTCTTTGAAGCATTTGAAGAGTTTGGATCTATCAAACAATTTGCTAAATTCTGCAGTTAAATTTGAATTTTCTGATTCAACAAGCGTCAATATCTACCTAAGTGGAAATAATTTGAGCGACGTGGATCTACGCGGAAATGTTGCATACCTTTCGATGTCTCGTAACAACTTGAAAGAAGTAACAAATGAAATCTTCAGATCGAACGTAAATCTTCACAGTATCTTTCTGGATTATAATGCTATCGTAAAAATTTCACAGCAAGCGTTCCACGAGCTGTCGCAGTTAGAAGAACTGAGTTTGAGCTTCAATACAATCGGAGAAATACATGCATTACAGTTTGAAACCCTGTCGTTTCTCAAGTTGCTCGACCTGACCAACATTAATTTGAGAAACCTGCCGGAAAATATATTCGCCTCTCAACGCAATCTTCAGACCTTAAGGCTTGGAGACAATCTTCTAGAGGAGATTCCAGTCCGCAGTTTTTCTACATTGACCAACCTTGAGTATCTCAGTTTGGAAAATAACAGGATCGGAAATTTGACACACGGCATATTCCAAGCAATGACAAGGTTGAAGAACTTATACCTTCATGGTAACGAGCTTGATCGCATTGAAGAAGGTTCGTTTGACGACCTTACCAGTTTGGAGTTGCTGGCATTGCACAACAATCGAATTTGGAAGATCGACGACCGGATGCTCAGTGGTATGCACAGCTTGGGAAAAATTGGACTACATAACAACAACATATATACGTTACATCCAGCTGCATTCAGAGGACTACTGCTGCTAAAAGTAGTTCATTTGTACGATAATCGCATCACGGAACTATCAGCTGACTTATTTGAAGACAACATACTGTTAGAAGAGGTAGTCTTGAGGAATAATCTATTGTCATCAATTCCACAGCGAACATTCCGCTACTTGACGAAGCTGCAGATTTTGGATCTTTTAGGGAATAAGATAACGGAAATTGATGCTCAAACATTCCAACAGTGTGAAGAACTGCGAGAGCTTTGGCTTGGTGGAAACCAGATTAGTACTATCAACGAAGCATCTCTACGAGGATTACGAAAGCTGGAAATGTTGGACTTAAGCAAAAACAATCTGTCGGTTATCAAAAATGGAACGTTTCAACATTTGGTCGCACTCAAGCGATTGTATCTGGGAAGTAACCGAATAAGAGAGATGTCTGGTGATCATTTCAATCGGTTAGTCAACTTGCAAGTGCTTTCCATTTTTAACAACAACTTGAAGTCACTTTGTAATGATTTGTTCGTGAACAATCAGCTGCTTGAGGAGCTATTTCTTGATGGAAATGAGATATCTGCTATTTCTGAGAAGGCCTTCAATGGCCTTGAGAACCTACGGATTCTGTACCTATCCAAGAACAAACTCATTGAGCTACGCAGTGGAGTGTTTAATCCAATGACTGCTCTTACAGAACTTAAACTTGACAAAAACGCAATCACACAGCTTCCACGATTTTTACTTGTACAACAAACAGATCTAGAATTCTTGTGCCTTTCGGAAAACAAGCTCACCTCCCTTCCAGAGGATTTTCTCGACACCAACACAAAACTCAAGATTCTTGAGCTCAATGATAATCACCTCACCGATATTTCGGAGCAGCTGTTCTGCCATCTTCCGGAGATGACAGAGCTTTACTTGGAAAACAACAATTTAGATGAATTGCAGGAGCATATCTTCGTTCAAAACCATCACTTGAAGATCTTAAACGTAGCAGGGAATGCCCTAACTTCTTTCGACGTCTTCAAAACAGCATTTGTAGAAAGTCTCCAAATTCTCGACATCCAAGGAAATCGCCTTCAACTGATTCACATTCCACGTAGCCTTATCAAGCTGTACGCTCAAAACAACCAAATTGATACGATTTTCGTGGAACAGTCCTCCTTTCACAAATTAGAAAACCTCATCCTATCCGGGAACAATCTCACACGAGTGGACAAAGTATTCAAGCTCATTCGGCTGAAAAGTTTAGATCTCTCCAACAACCATCTGAACGAGCTGGACATGAGCCGATTGTACAAACTGCCATACCTGGAGAACTTGAACGTTTCGAGATCTGAAATCAAACGCCTCGCGGGAGTGCTGTTCAAACAACATCATTCCCTAGTGACGCTCGATCTGACGGAGAACGAGGTGGTACATTTTGACAACTTCATTGCAATCTTTTTCTCATCGTTGCTTCGGTTGGGAGTGACTGGAAATCCGTTCGTGGATCAGGAATTTCACGATAATATGGAACTGCTGAGAAGTATCGATGCACTGCAGGAAAATTTTGAGCTGTTTTAGGGTTAGTTTAATTTAGTTAACACACTAGAGATAAGGTTCATTCAGGGGCATTCAAATGCGTGAAAATGTAGTTTCTTAGGTTCATTATATTATTGAATAAAGTCTTCTTCTTATTCTTCATAAATTCATTTATGTCATCTTCTTTACGCCTCCTGTCTCCAGTTTAGGGTCAGCATTTCCTCGATTGTTTATTGATAGTACCAATGCTGAAATGTAGCTGATTTATGGCTTACTTGGGGTATATTCTTAAATAAGTTTAAGTTCATATTCGGGTTCAGCTAGTTCCACTTAGTTAAAAAATTAAATCATAGTTTAAACTTTTTCATGTGCGGTGTACATCTGTGCAAGAAATGCGACAAAATTGTGAATTTAAAGCCATTTTTTGAAGAAATTTTGCATTATTTACCTTATATTAATACATATTTTGATTCGGCGAGGGTAGTTATAAAAAAAGCGTTTTTTTTCAAAAGAGGGAGCCCAAAATTTACTTGAATGGTTAGACGAATGATATTTTCCATGCAAACACCAAGCTCCTTCACATTATAGAGTTATATTTTGAATTGGCTTTCTTTCATAATATGAAGAAAAGCGCAAAGGAATTCGGTTGAAGGGCCGGGTACGTAAAAGAAGTAATATTTGAGTTTTAGGAAAGACGTGTAGATTGTAAATCCATATCAAATCCTTCTCAAGAGAAATTGTTGTCGTCGTCGGCGAGGTCGCCGCCAAGATAACAACAAGTTGAAAGGGAACTTGTTCGTAATTGTTTTGTGAAATAAGGAGCTCGGTGACCTATTGACGACCGATTTTGTTAATTGAGCAGAATATTGTGGGTTCAATCCCACGCTCCTTCTTGATATTGAATTGTTAGGACATCATATCGGTTACCAAAATGAATCTTGCTGCAATCCCGTTTATCCAACATCTCAGCGATATCTCGGGGAAGTACAGAAGTGTTCTCGGTTTGTTCATTAAAGCGAGTATTACGTCTACATTCTCCTACCTATTCCTTTCTCTATCAGCATTCTGGACCAGGCCCTCAGGAGAATGGTCAGACTCTCAGACATATCAAATCACCTGAGAATGGCAAAACAATATCATTGGTGATCAGATTGATTATTCTGAACTACATTGGCCTCATTCGGATATGTTCCATGGGAAGTGGCCAGAATTAGACCTGCGCCAAAGCCCATCATGCGACACATCAAATCACACTAGAATTAGAGAAACAAGATCACTGGAAGATATTTTATGTGCCCACTGTTACATTTATTTGTTTATTTACTTTTAAATTGTTGTAGAGTAAGACGAGACCAATCCACACAATCTCAATGCCCCTCACAAATAAAGTATTGCCATAATGCGATGTGTGGTGCTGTAGAATGTTGAAATCGTCCCAGAGCTTCGAAACGCTTGCAATGTGTCCTTTAAATAATGAGAGACGAGCAATTTTTAAATACAGTTAAGAAAACACGCAGGACATCCGAGTAATTGCAATAATAATTGCAAGGTGATGGAATTTCGTGTCTGCTATTCAACATCCTGTTTGAAGGTGTGATCAGAAAAGCAGGGATAGACACGAGTGGCACGATCTTCAGGAAGTCCATCCAGCTTCTTGGCTTCGCCGATGACATTGACATCATGGCACGGAACTTTGAGACGATGGCGGAAACGTACATCAGACTGAAGGCTGAAGCTAGGCGGATTGGACTTGCCATCAACGCATCAAAGACAAAATACATGAAAGCAAGAGGTTCTAGGGAAGACAATGTTAGGCTCCCACCCCGAGTTCAGATTGACGGTGACGAAATCGAGGTGGTTGATGAGTTCGTGTATTTGGGCTCACTGGTGACCGCCGAAAATGATACCAGCAGAGAAATTCAAAGACATATTATGGGAGGGAATCGTGCCTGCTCTGGACTCCGGAGGACGCTCCGATCGAATAAAATTCCCAGCCGTACAAAGTTGACTGTCTACAAGACGCTAATTAGACCGGTGGTCTTCAACGGCCACGAGACCTGGACTATGCTCGTAGAGGGTCAACGCACCCGTGGTGTTTCCAAACGGAAGGTGTGGCGTACCACCTACGGTGGAGTGCACATGGATGACGGAACGTGGAGGAGACGAATGAACCACGAATTCCACCAGCTGCTGGGAGAACCATCCATCGTCCACATTGCAAAAATTGGGCGACTACGGTGGGCTGGGCACGTCTTGAAAATGCCGCACGACGACCCAGTGAAAATGGTTCTAAAAAGTGACCCAACAAGAAAAAGAAGAAGAGGCGCGCAGCGGGCAAGGTGGTTCGACCAAGTAGAAGGCGACTTGCGGATCCTTCGCATACTACGAGGCTGGCGAACTGTGGCCATGGATCGAGTAGAGTGGAGACGACTTCTTCGGACAGCAGAGGACAATAAGGCCTTAGTCTGATTGCTAAGGTAAGTAAGCATTCCATCCTGAGCATGAACGTTATGGTTATTTAATATTTTCCTATAAATAAATGCCTTTACTAAACATAAAGGGTGGAATCTTAAAAGGGTTTGAATAAAATATGGAATGTTTTCATCAGAGATAACTTCCAAATTTATTCACCTTTCCATACGTACCGTTGGATTTGATAAAGAGTCAAACATTGTTGAGGTATTATTAGAAATCTAACACTGCTTCGTGATTCTTAATGATGGTAGACAAAGTGGATTCGCTAGGAGCGCTTCTTTTGTTTTGAGAACAATGAGTGTATTCATACAATGCGATATATTACGCTTTATGTTGTGGTTTATGAACTATCGTATTTATTGATTTGTGCACGGTGAAATCATTGTTATTATTAATGATTTCTGCTCGATAGAACGGAAATGGGCGATTACGACGAAGTAGCGCTCTTCCTTCAAGCAACACGGCTTGTCATAAAGTAGTTGAAAATACTTTTCAATGACTTACTTATAGAATCAATAATCCTTTAATATACATCATTTTATACATTTATACAACCTAAAAAGCGCAAGACGCGGAGATAATAGAACTTAATACTGGTCTTATAATATGTTTTGGAAACATCATAAAAACCAGCGGCAAAAATTAAAAAAAAATTGAGTATGGGATTCGAACACAGGTCCTTGGCGTGATAGGCTTATAACTTCCTAACTAAACCAACTCCACTGCAGGAAATGTTGAATGTGCACTTGACGTATTCTACAATGTGTTGCTTGAAATAATACTTGAAGAAGTGCCAACTAAAAGAAGAAGACGTCAGAGTCATGCAAAACATCCAGTTTGATACAACAGGGAACTGAAAAATTTAAAAAATCGAAAGCAAAAAGCAATTTTATAAAAAATATAATAGTGAAGAAACTTTGGCATACTATTTAGACATATGCGATCAGTTAAATTTAGCCGTGAATATGGCATTTGAGGAGTACAATTTAAAAACTGAACTTGAAATAAAATCTTGTCCTAGGAAATTCTTCAATTATGTGAAAACCAAATTAAAATCTGATAATTTTTCATCAAAGAAGTGTTGTATACAGATTTCAGCAAAGCGTTTGATTGAATTGACATACCCATGCTTCTTTTTAAACTTCAAAAAATGGGAATTCATTACGCACTCCTCAAGTGGCTTGAATCATATTTAACTGACCGCCATCAAATAGTAAAATACAAAGGAAAGACATCAAATCCCGTTGATGTCACTTCTGGAGTTCCTCAAGGCTCCTATTTAGGACCGCTTTTATTTATTCTCTTCGTCAATGACATATCTTTCATTATTAAGAAATTGAAAGTTTTAATCTATGCTGACGACATTAAACTTTTTTTCGAAATAAAAGATGCCAAAGACATCATCACATTCAATGAGGAAATACAGATATTCCATACTTGGTGCCAAAAAAGCCTGCTACAATTAAATATAAAAAAATGTAACTCAATTACCATTAGTAGAAAACGAACCCTACCCGATATAACAATCACTTTAGGAAACCATATCGTAGAAAAGTGTGATAGAGTCAGGGATCTAGGTGTTATTTTGGACTCAAAACTTACTTTCACCGATCATTATAACACAATTATTAACAGAGCTAACAACATGCTTGGTTTCATAAAACGTTTCTGCTATAACTTTCACGATCCGTATACGATAAAAACATTGTACATTGCTTATGTAAGATCGATATTAGAATATTGCAGCATAGTTTGGTCTCCTTTTTCAATCACACACGAAGAAAGAATAGAGTCCGTTCAAAAGCAGTTTCTATTGTATGCACTCCGCAAGTTAGGTTGGACTGTATTTCCTCTGCCATCTTACACAGCTCGGTGTAAGCTCATAAATATCCAAACATTAAAAGAGCGTCGTGAATTTGCTATGATTTCTTTCGTAAACGATATCGTATCACATCGAATTGATTCAATAGAACTATTGTCATCCTTAAATTTATATACACCATCTAGGCATTTACGAAATAGAACTATATTTGCTACAAATCGTCATCGTACGAATTATGCCAAATTTGGACCCTTGAACCAAATGATGGATACATATAATAAGCACTGCGATAACATTGACTTTACAATGACAAAAACCAAATTAAAGCAATATTTAATTCCTCGCATAACGTCAGCTAGAAGTAATGTTTTAACTTGTTCTCAAGACATATTATAAAAAAAAAAATATAAACAAAGACAAAATTGTAAACATAGCTCTTATGACAACAATTGTAAAACGGTCTACATTGATTGACGACAAATAAATAAATAAATAAATAAATAAATAAATAAATAAATAAAACATGGGATGTTTTCTGCATCGCTTATAATACATTTATACAACAAGTCGTTCTAATTCTTTTTCAGTGTTACTTGGGCTATGTGTATGTTTTAAAACAATTTGATTTCATTTCTTACGAATACAAACAACTTATTATTGGGATTTTATGAGAATGATTTAATTTATTTTTACATTGTTGGATTGATATAGTTGTTACAGAAATCCATACTTTACTTTTTAGTAATATCAACAATTCTATTCATTCTTACAGTTTGAAAACTTGTTGTCTTCTATTTGTCTTTCAGAAATAGGAATAA